AAAAAAATGCCTAGGAACCCTTTTGCAAATTTGTCAACTTTTTAAAGTTCAATGTTAAAACCGGAGACCTGATTGTTGCATTGCAGGGTTCCTGTGCAATTTTTGTGCAAAAAGAACTCTCTTTAGTAACAGATGTGAAAAAGACGAGTTACACATTCCATGACAGCTTCATGAAGTTCCCAAACTTAAAAAAAAAAAAAACAAAAACAAATGCTCACATCAGCACCAATCTAAATTGAGCAATGCCTCAGTGCTGACATGTGTAGAGAAGCAGCTTTGCTTGCTGGTGATGCTGCCACCAAGTGTTAATACCCGTCAAAATGTCAGAATGCGAAATTGTAAGCATATTAAAGCTGCACCTAAATTGTTCTTTATACAGATGGTCACAGATAAAATCATGTTTGCCAACACAAGAGCAAATAGATTTTTAAAAAACAGGCCAGGATCAAAAAGAGTTGTCACGGCCACAAATCAATTTAACTGCCACAAGAAAACAACCCCCAAATCTCTCAATTCTTCTTCTGCAGCTCTGGGAAAACGCGCTGGCTTACAAGTTCATTTTGAAGTCTGGCATTCTCCACGCTGAAGGCTCCTCATAATACCGCCGTAAAAGGAGGGAGAGCTTGGCAAAAATGTGCGGCAAGAAACGCCACTGTACCACACTTGCCAACAACCAAGCAACACAACCAATGAAACTGTTCGCTACAACGCAGGTTTGCCTAGTGAAAGCGAATCAGAACAAGAACTTCCTCAAAACTGCGGTTAGACCTTCAAATCCATCAGGAGCAGCCGCGTGAGTGAATAAACCTTTAGGAAGAGCAAAGCACAGGAAAACAGAAGGGAGGAAGTGGGTATGTGAGAAGTGCTTGCGGCCCAGCTAGAGCAACAGCAAAGATATAGGAACTTTCGTGACGGAAACAAGAGACTCATCACAGAAGCGCGAAACCACGCACCGCCGATCATGTATCGTTGCGGAAAAACGGCCGGAAGAGAGGTGGTGGATGTCTGACGTGCGGCCAGTGACCGGCGCTTTACATTTTCCCTGACTCGGGCTGAAAGGATGCGGTCCTGACCGCATTGTCGTGCACTGATCCCACCCCGTGCGCGTCGACGCAGGCAGGAAAAGAGCACAGCCAGAAAACCACCGTAGTCTGAGTTGAAACAGCAGGTGGGGGGGGGGGGGGGTGTTACACACGAATCCACAAAACGAAAAAAGCGGGCGAAGCAGGGGAGGAGAGAAAAGACCGACAATGGAACGGAAAGACAACCGAGAAAAACAGCAAGCAGATGCCAGCAAAACCGATATTTAGGGCAACACTGTGTCGTGGTGGTAGGGAGAAATGGACGACTATGAAAACGATGCTCGGCTAATGCGATGAATCTTCAACGATATTGCTTAAGTGCTCAATGGCAAGTTTCTTTGTTATGAGGCACGCCAGCGGAATAGGCAATATTGTGAGCATGTACGCAGAGCAACAGTCATCCGAACGGGAGCTCCTCGTTGTGTGCAGGCCACAGATGAAAATCTCATATCCGCAACTCTGCTTGCCACCAAGCATGCTACTGAATATTTAATGCTAGTAAAATGTACAACACTACAGCACACTAACATCGGTGCCCTTATATGTCCTTTTTATTTTGTTCACGAATGGCACACCAGTGGCAACTCAAATACTTGGTTCCATGAGGCAGTAAGCAGCAGTGATTAGGGCGGCACAAAACTGGACGCAGTGATCTTGGGCACACAGCAGGCCAGCCCTGCTTACCGACACCACGGTTATCTTGACTTCTCGGGGGCATATGCTTGCCGATTTTGTTAGAAAGCCCTGCCATATTCTCTGCGTACATGTCGTAGTTCCCGAGTGTCCCCTATGATGCACACTGAATGAGCAAGCACCAGTTGATAGGCCCATCGTTAGCTCAAGCAACATTGTTGAAGAATCAAACGAAGGAGCACTGCAGTTGCAGGCAACAGCCTGCCTAGCTCGTCTGTCTTAAAGCTTCCCTCGTCTGTTGGCGAAAAGCAGCTGGCAGTATTCTGATAGTGATGCTGCCTAGCTCGTAGAACGAAGGACACGTCGAGATAGGAAAACTTTCGCAACTGCAGTTGACGCTGCAGAAGTTAAGGAAGATGATGAAATGAAACCACAAGTCAGCTGACCACCAAACATAAGTGAATGGGTACATTGCGTAAAGCTGAGCCTGAAGTCAACATTTGTCTCTAATATAAAGGTAGGGCGTCTGCTTAGGCGCACTATAAATCATGTGAGCAGAAGTAAAGGGAGGGGGGGGGGGGGGGCTTTGTGAGGTCTATAAATAAGATTCGTAGCAGGCAAATACAAGCGATTAAAAAAACAGAGAGGTGGTAGGATGAAAATTTCGTGCACCACTGTGAATGTGGGAAAACAACTTGACAAAACCTACACGTGGGGTTGACAGTAAAGCTCGGTAGAAGAGAACACAAGTGTATTATAACGGCAGGCATAGGTAGCGAGAGCAAAACAATGCACAAGGCTTCAAAGCCTCTGCCCCCCACGACGTACTATCATTTTACTGTCATTTACCCCATAGCACCAACAAAAACGCATGCACTACTCAGCACGTTTCGATGATTGTGATCAAGCGTCGCAGACCGGCATCACCACGACGACGACAACGTCCTCGGGACTTGGTCAGCGCGGCCCGTTTCAACTTTCACTTCGTCCGTTGTGCACGGCGGTCTCGCCCACCGCACACGGATCGTAGCAGTTCCTATTGCAGTAGACGCACATGTGCCCCCGCCAAATGCGAGGACGACGTTGGGTAGCATCCTTTCTCCGGTTCCTCGTTTTTGTTTTTTTCTGTCTCCGCGTCGCGGGTCGATCCTCATCTACCGCATTGCCCCTCAGGGGGAGCGAAAAGGGGGGAGGGTGACGGGACCGAGAGACGCGCTCAAACGAAAAGCCACGCACTGACACCACGCATCACAAGTCTTGCGTCAGGGTGGATGAGAGCAACAGAAAAAAAAAAAAAAGAGAGAGAGATAAGTCCACTCGGAAACAGTCTTCTTTTTCGTTGCCAACGGCACACCACTGTTCCATGAAGCGATGTGGCATCGTCGAAAGGCGAACAGAACCTCGCCGCGCGACACTACATCACATCGCGTCACTCCTGTCTATGCCAGCACCATCAGTCTAGGCACCAAAGTAAGAGAGAAAAAAAAACAACAATAAAAAAATAAACAAACACAGACACACAAGAGCCGTGAGCTTGATACGGCGACGTCAGGATGCAGGGAAGAAATCCCCGACTGGCAATGCGCCGCACGATGACGACGGCTTCGCGTTGCGCGGCACCATAGAGTGCGCCACGTCACAAGGAAGGGAAAATAAACGGATTCTCGAGTTGAGCATGTAAATATAATTGAGGTAGGACTTATGAATAAAAAAAAATGATCTAGAAAAAAAATTGTGGAGGCGGAACACTGCGCAAAAAGAAAGGAAGCACTAAATGTGAGCGAAAAAAAAGACGATAGCAGACTGGCACAAATGTTTGAATAAGGAAAAAAAAAAAGGGGGGGGGGGGGGGGGGCAGGACTGCTCGAAGAGGAACAAGATACACGGTGGTGAAACTTCAGCATCCAGTTGCTGTTCTTCTTCCAGCCACTTTTTCGTAAAAAAAAAAAAAAGTTAAAAGGAAGGACCTCGTCTAAGTTGTTTGTTTTTCGATGGCCGCCAGTCGGTCGACTACTGAGCATTAGACAAGAACGCTCAACTAAACATACACTTTAAAAGGCCTGTTCGTTCCCTTCGCATGAGTGCCTTTTCGTCGTTTGGCAAAACTGACCCGTTCCCCACCCCCCCTTTTTTGTTTGAAGAGACCTGAGCAATCATGGCAATTTTAGCGATCCAAGACGACGTTAACTAAAGGAACGAACAAACAAAGAGAATGAAACCCGCACTATTCCGTTGCTGTTCATGACATCAGTCTCTCGTGGATTTGCACGAAAGTCTAGCTGTAATTGTATGTAATAAAAATAAAATAAGAATGGTCTCTCTCTGCGAGTACCCTCCAATTCCAGAGCTTCTTGCTGCAGTGCGCACTGCGTGCATGATTGTAACAAAGGCGCAAGGACGTACTGACAAGCGACAGACGCGTGCTTCTTTGTAACCTGCATCGTGCTAATGGCGCGCCAATTTACAAAGTCGAGAAAAAGAAGGTTACAAGTTATACCTGAAAAGTTAGTTGAGACACGATCGTGGCACAAAACGTGAATGGGACAGAACAGGTATTTCTAGTGCACTAAAAGCAACTGCGACAGGCCTGACAATCGACAACGAAAATAAAGAAAGAGAAAGCGAACAAAGATGATATCCCTTGTAATGACAGGATTGGTCAACAAGACGAGAAGGCTTCTTCGACATAATTATATCAACGCTATTCGTTAGCCACAACAACAACTCATAAAAACTCTTTCAAGAGAAAACAGCACCGGGAAAATAATGCAGCACTCAAAGGTGGTACAAACGTCTACGCGCACTTACAAAAAAAAAAAAATGCACGGCGACGACGAAAGATGACCTAGCAAGATTGCAATGACGGGGATGGCCTGCTTGATAACTATAACCGAAGGGTGATTGCCTGCGGCACCAACTAAACTTGCAATGACTGTAAACCAAGCCTAGTATCGTCGGAAAAATATAACAATAATGATAAAAGCACCGGGACTGTTGGGACGAAAACAGAAAAGAAAGTGCACTTCCACAAAAACAACAAAAGAAAAAAAAATGCACCCGAAGAAAGCATACTACCGGAAAAAATATGAGAAGACAATCATGAGCGTCACACACGCAGCTTTACATACAATAAAAGACAGGAATGAGGTACTCCGAAACCCGTTAAATCCAAACCTATGTTCAATTTGGCATTTGTTCGCAAGAAAAAAACAAAGAGCAAAGAGAGAGAAGGAAAAACAAAATAAACACCCCCCCGATTTCACTCCTGCCTTACATTTTTTTTTCTGCTTTTCTTTACTTTTTCTTTGATTCGCTTCATTTTTTTTTTCAATCGTGAGGTAGAGACCGTGGAAAACTTGTTCCCTTCCTGGCACTCGCCGGCAGAGACGACGCGCCACAACCGCGCACGGCAACATCAAATATGGCGAATGCAACAACGCTGCGCACTTGTCACTCAACACACAACATTACTGCTTTTCCGTCGGGGTGGGCAGCGCAAGGACGATCCAACAAATGACTTCCTTCAACCACAACGGCACCGAAAAGCTCATTCCGGCAACCCTTGCACCTTTCTTTCATGATGTCTTCGTTTGCAATCTTGCGTTAGTGGCATTCTTTTCACTCGGGATTTCAGGGACGAACACCGAAGAAGACAACCAGCGCTCGCTTGTCCGATGTATACCGAGAAATTTCTCGAAACTCTTCCTTTTTTTTTTTTTTCACTGACGATATGAAATCCTTTCGCGTCGAAGACTCTCAGTGTTGACGTCATTTCTTTCTTTTTTTCGTATTTTCTCCCACCACGACTTGCTGTTCACCACCGCATTGTCCTTAGCCATCATCATCCTGCTCCATGCTGGACACACACTGAGAACTTGGCATTCTGGAAAAAAAAAAAGTAAAGCAATGCAAGGACTTGAGTAAATGAAATCACTCCCGAGTAACGGCTTATTCACAGCTACAACTACACTCGATTTCACAACACTATGAAAGTTAGCGAGACTTCTTGAAGTACATGCGTTTGCAGTAGGATCGGGCTAATCACTGCCAGCTAATCATGGCTATGCTGATTAAAAACTTGTAGTTGTGACATCCATAGTTAACTTTTGGTGAGTTAGAACCTCGCAAATTAATATCAGGTTAATAATATAGGTTGGTAACAAGCTCCACTGTTACTCCAGCTTTGCAACACTAGAACGAGCTGCTCACATTTTTTACTACATGTAACTTAAGGGGGGAAGCTGCACTTGAAAAGCGACTTTTTTATTTATGGATAAATCTGAACCAAATTTTCACAGTTTGTGTATTTTGATGTGCAGATTCCCAAAATGTAATTACTTTTGTGATAGGGCTAGCAGTTCCCAATATACTGTGCTATCATTGCATAAGCTGGGTCCTTTGTTTGGAGCAAAATTAGCGTCTAGTCAGAAAACCCGAAAATGGTGGTTACAGTATTGAAACAACGTAGGATGTTCAAGAATAGCAAGATGCTATAAATCAATTTACTGGCGAATTTTAACAAGAGTTAGAGGTCATCAATGTTTACAGAAGAAAAGCCATTGTCACATACCATACATGTGACCCATTTATAAAATTTTGTGAAATGTATATTGCCCTGAAAATAGCCATTTTGTCACAAAGGTACAGGGACGCAGGCACAAAAGCAGGGCGTTTACTTTCGTGACCGAAGGCAAAAAGCACGAACACCACAGCACACGCCCACAGAAGTACTTCGTTATCCTCCGCAAAGGCTGGCAACCATAGTTGCCAGCCTACTTTGCGTCGATTCCCCCTTTCAAGAGCCTCTGTTGACGATAACATCAGTACTCGTGCGGCCAGCGTCCACGCCGCGCACGCACGAGGAATCGTCTACGGCCACGTCGACGTTATCAGACGATGTCGGAGCCTGCTCCCGCGATGCAGTAGCAGCACCATTGGGCTTTCTACCCCTGCCTTTCTTCCTTGAACGGCCAAAATGATGCTTCGACCGGAACTATTTCGCACCGCCGGGCATAGCGAACCGCACCAAAATATTCTAGCACACTGACCGCACGAACACGTTAGCGATAAGACACCATTGCAAGAGCGATACCTTTTCAAAATGTCGGCTGACAGTGCCATCAAGTTTTCCTAGCCAATCGAGAAACGCCATTTTGGTCACGTGCATCAGGCAACCAATGGAGTCGCGCTGCGCGCGTGGTTTTGCTTTGCTTTTTTTTTTGCTTCCGCAAGGGACACATGGTTGCTTACTGAAAACAAGAGAAAAGCTGGAAACGCAACCTTTCAAACAAGACCAAAATGGCGCTGGTGGAGCGCATAGTTTGCGTGCTGTCAGCAGTTGAAGTAAGGCTAGTTTAGACTTGAATTTAAAGGTCTGCTGCGCGTAGTTGCTCCTTTTATCTCTTATAACTCTGGAAATAAATAGAATTTCGAAGCCAAAATTTGCTGATAGATGCAGGAGGGCCTTGGGAACGCGAAAATAATGAGAAAATGCGATTTTTTGGCCGATTTTCGACTTTTAAGTGTCGCGTCCCTACTTAAATCCTTTTTAGACAGTAAAAATAACGAATATGCTTTGTGCCATAAAAGTAAGCTAACCTTCTTATTTAAACGGTTGTCAAAAGATTGTTCTGGATTACATGTGCAGACTTGTGAGGATTGTTCTGGATCACATGTGCAGATCACATGTGCAGATCACATGTGCAGATCACGTGTGCAGACTTACACATTTAGCTAGCAGAGCTTCTTGAATAACTTACACAGAATTGTACTTGATGTATGAAAAAGAGTACAGCACTGGTCGCATGAAAAAGTAAGCTCAAAATGGCTCCTTTGGTCGCAAAGAGATTGCTCTAGCTTAGCTGCTCAATTTTTCAGACACAAACTTTTGAACCAATGACATGAACAAAAATAGGATGCCAGATTATTTTAGGGGGAATGGCAATGCCAGCAGACGTGAATTTAGCGTGGCAATGGGTATAAGATGCACGGAGGTTTGAATGAACACCTCGAGTAACTTTCTGGGCGCCAGTTGCAAATGGTCGTGCAACCAATGCCAGTTGCAAGTGTGATTGAGTCTTATGTCAACGTTTGCACAAACAGGGCTTTGCTTTTGCTAACTACGGCCAATGCATGTAAAGCACATAGGCACATAGCAACACTATGCACATAGCAACACTATGCACATAGCTAGCAAGACTAATTCACTTTATCTCGTTCTGTCCACTCACTCCTGTTTGATGACAGGCTTCATGTTGTCGTTGGTGGTGAAGTCGGCCGGCTCCGAGTCATGGCCGTACGACGGCAGCGAGGTGGAGTCTTCCTCCTGGGAGATGTCCGAATCCCCCTGGTCACTGTCACCCTCGGGGCCTGCAGAGTCCCCCTGGTCGCTACCACCACCTCGCATCGAGGGCGTCTCCACCTGGGCCCATAGCGACAGCAAAGTCGCAGCCGGTGAGAAAAACTGTTATCGAAGCAGTAAGTTAGACAGACTGGTACAGTGTCATTATGGGAAAAATAGCGCCAGACAGAGACGAAGGCTGAAAAGCACAAAACAAAACACATGCGCTCACTTGGAACTGGCATTTGTATTTAAAGACAAAGCCAGAAAAGCATACGGTTTGTTGATTTAAAGGTGAACATTAGACAGAAGCCTGTCTGGCTGGGAAGGAACTCTTGGTCAAACCGGAAGGATACCAACCAAGGTTGTGACTATCATATTTACTCGCGTAATTCTCGCACTCGCATAATTCTTGCACTCCCACATCGCCCAACAACAAAAATACGATCTTTTTTTTCCGCGAGTAATTATCGCACCCCCGAAAACTGCCGCAATAACGTCGTCTGCTCATTCTAGCCACTGATAATGATAGCGCTTGCCATCTGGCGCCATCTCTTAATCATCAGGCGTACAATTATTGCACGGAGTTTCAATCCAATCCAAGCCAAGCCAAAGTGGCGAATGCGCGTTGCGACGTGTTTTGTATGTTGTGTCGGTAATTTTGTCACGTTATGGGGCGATACTGAAGCTACACAGCTGCTTTCAAGTTGAAAGTGATAGATCATGCCCTAAACAACGGCGGGAACAGGGCCGCCGCTAGGCCTTTCGGAGTCTACAAGTTTTGTGTTCGCTACTGGTGACGGCAGCTGAGAGCCACCAAGACGCGCTAGGCCTGCTGTGTGCCTAAAATTATGATTGATGGTAAACTTTATTTCTTCAGAAGGAAACTGCGGTCGATTCTGTTAAATAGCCAATAGCCCAATACTGACGTCCTATGCCTACCTTTTGAGGGCTCCTGCTGTGCCGCGAACGCTACCGCAACACCCGCAACTTTTGCGTATGGTATTCTAATTCTTGACTATTTGCTTAAACTTTTTGTGTCTGAAATAAATCTTGCCTTGTGTTGAACCTGTGCTTTTAATGTTGACGATAGTTATAGCGCGAGAACAGAACGAGGACAAACAGACATCGTCGTTCTGTTAACGCGCTATAACTATCGTGATGTCATACCAACTAGCCAAAACTGCCACACTTCTAATTTATTGTTGAGGTAAGTTTCAATTAGTACTTCTCAAAGCTTGCTGTTAGTTGCTGGTGTGAAAATCCCGACTTGCATCCACTTCGTTTTTTTTTTTTCGCTCTGTACGTTTTTGTGGAAAGTTTTCCCGTGTACCGTAATTACTCAAATCTAACGCGCACCTTTTTTCTGGTTAGGCGAGTTCATAAATCGCATGCGCGTTAGAATCGAGTACGAAAAAAAAAAAAAAAATGAATACGGTCATTCTATTGCCATCGGCATTCCAAAATGGCCGCCCCCTACGTGGGTCGGCATGGCGCGTCGGCCATTTCTGCCTATGTGTTTCCCATGTGCGGCACTTCGTACGTGTGGTGAGGAGTTCGTCATCTTGTAGTGCATTAGCGTCGACGGCATGGAAGGACCGACTCCAAAAACTCGAGTGCACCACGATGCCGCTTTTAAAAGAAAAGTCATCGCGTGTGCAGAAACGGACGGAAATGGGCCGCATCGCGGTCGTTCGGAGTTCCCGAAACGTGCGTGCGGGAATGGCGGAAACAAAAGCAGAAGATTGTTGACAGCAAAGCTTCACGCAAAGGCTTCAGTGGACCACAGCAGGGTCGGTTTCCGCAAATTGAGGAGCTGCTCGGCGAGTATGTGCTTGAGCAGCGAGCGGCACAGCGGCCCGTGACGACAGAACTGCTCAAAGTGTGGGCTATGCAGTTACCCATAGAATAAAAAAAGGGCTAATGCGGAGCCAGTTTGAAGCGAGCAGGTGCTGGCTAACTAACTTTATGAAGAGGAAAAGCTTTTCCCTCTGAAGGCGAACGGGCATATGCGAAAAGTTTTGAGAGGAGTACGATGAAAAGCTTCACAGTTTTCAGAGGTTCATCCTAAACTTGCGGCACAACAACGGCTATCTGCTTGGGCAAATCGGGAATGCCGATCAGACGCCTCTTTACTTGGACATGCCTAGCACCACAACCGTCGAGAAGGGGGCGAAGCAAGTTCGCCTGCTGACATCGGTCCACGGTAAAACTACAGTGATGGCAATGCTCTGTTACACGTCAGATTGGCACAAGCTTCCCCCGTACCTCTTATTTAAATGGAAGACGCTCCCGAAAGGAGTAGTTTTTTCGAGTGGTGTGATCGTGCGGGCCAACGAGAAAAATGGGTGCGCGTTGCAATCGATGTCTTTTTTTTTTTTTTTTCGCCGTCGAAACCGGGTGCGCGTTACAATCGAGGGCGCGGTAGAATCGAGTAAATACGGTAATTCTCGCACCCCCCAACTTTGCATCGGTTTTCCGCCAAAAAAGTGCGAGGATTATGCGAGTAAATACGGTAAACACTTTGTGTTTACTTTAAGAGAAAGAAAGAACCCCATGTTTCAGGTCTACTTGGGATATTTTTTCAGGGGGTAGCTGGGGTGTACTGAAGGTTTATCAACTAAATTGTGCATGTGTATGCAAAAATAAGAGGAGAGAAAGGGAAACATCACATGTTATTTATGTCACATTATATAGTACAGTAGACTTTTAAAAGGAAACCCGAAGGAACCAGGAAAATATGTTCCATTTGACAAGAGTTCCATTTACTGTGAGAGGAACAGGGTTCAGAATACAAATACTAAACCAATCAGATCAAAAACAGTTGTTCCATTTAAGCAGCAATTCTGTTTAACAGATTTCCGTTCACTGTGAGAGTCTACTGTATATCATTAATGTTATTTTTTATATTTCTTTATTTCAATTTTTTCGGACAGCAAAGCACTCATATGACATATGCCATTTTTTCAATGCCTTGCCTAAGAGTGCACAACAATACATGTAAACGAGTCCCCCCCCCCCCCCCCTTTTTCTTCGTCAAGCAAGTTTGAAGTGAGTGCATGCATCTTGCATTCTACTCTTCTGTCTCACTCTCATTTTCAAAGCTTACTTCCCAAGCAGAGATTAACTGCATGTCTCGAAGTACCCAGGAATCACTCACGTGTGGCGAGGAAGTGGGCAATCCGGCAGCACATGATGGCAGTGCAGCCGCGAGGGCCGCGGCCGAGCTTCCCACCTGCGGGTACAGGCTGGGTGCGCCCCACAGGGGTGGACCCACAGAGAAGGGGGACTTCTGGTGGCCTCCACCTGTCAGCGCTGGCAACCCGCCAAGGCCACCAGCCTGGGCCGCTGCCGCCATTGCTGCCGCTAGAGACAAGAGAAAGACGCATAGGAAAATTGAAAGTTAATGAAATCGTGGTTTTCTTGCATGCTGAAACCGTCGCATGATTACGAGCCATGCCACAGTCGAGGACTTGGGATTGACCCTTTGACACACTATGTACACAATTGTGTACACCTTTTGTTTCTTTTATTTGTATACCTAGCGGCTAAGTAAGGGCAAGCTTTATCAAGCTTTAGATGAATTAAACCTCGGGCACAAGATCACTTTTCTGAAGACACAGCCACGCTCGTAGAGATGCTTCCTGCAAGAGTGAAAAGTACAATTTTGATTTGCTTAAAATTGGCATAGCCAAAAATAAAATTTGCCTGAGATTTCATTGCATTTATATCAAAACAGAGCCACAATTACTTTAGAAAAATACATATTTAATTATAACTTAATTAAGATAACCTACCACTATAACATACACAAATTATCATATCACAACATTATTTTTTGCAACAGAATTTTGGGTGCCTAAGAAATTTGACACACTCACACATTTACACATAGGTGGCCTTTGAAAGGGTTATGACTACATCAAGCCTGTTGGAAAAACACCAAAAGCTATCTAAGTAAACAGATATTCTTCACTTCACAAGCTGAATGGCAAGCAACGCCTGCACTTTATTCCCACTGAAATGCAGTCGTGGCAGCAAGCAATGAAACAACTTGTCCTCATGATAACCAGCCTAACACCACCATAGCTTCAAAGCTACCATTACAGGTGAGAAGTGTCTGAAAATGCCGAGTCGGGAGACTGACAAATGAGAGGTGTTAACAACGCTGTTCATTCTAAGTAAGACGGGAACAGCGCCACGCGGACACAGACAGCAGTAAGTAAGTGAGCTGTGCTGCACAACCACACTTACCATGTTGCTGCCTGAGTTGCTTCTTGGCCTCTTTTCGACGGTTGTTGAACCAGTTGTTCACCACAGGCAGGCTCACTTTCTCCCGTTCAGTCAGAGGACGCTCTACAAGAAGGAAAAGTGGCCGCGACGATAAGAATTCGGCACGGTTTATCAATGTGTTTCCATGTAAAAGTCACATAAATATTCGTACATATTCAAGAATGTCCCCTAGTAAGATGGGCAAAGAAAGACCAGTCATTAGACGACATAATGCCCAGCTACCATACTATAACAAGTATGTATGCATGCTAAAAATTATCAAGACATTGCGAAATAAATATAGCATGTCTCTCAGCAACAATAGCATGTAAAAAACATGTCCTTAAAACGAATACAGTTTAACCTTGAAATAAGAAAACTTGCTCCCTCCACAGCAATGACTTTACGGAGGACGCCAGCGAAATGTAGCGAGGTTTCGCCATCATTAGAACATCTAACGAAGACTGTCAGCTCACCAGGTCGCTCGACCGCCTCGTTGCACTCCTCGACAATCTGCTCGCGCGTCTGCGCATCCGGGTATGGATCACGCTCGTAGTACCGCTCCAACACGGCCAGGTGTGCTGACTTGAAGGTGAAGCGCTCCCGCTTGAGTGGAATCAAGTCACCCGTCTCCGAGACCATCCGCTTCACGCCAGAGTTGGGGCACAGTTGTGCTGCGACATGCGTCATGGAAGCTCAAAATCTTACACCACATTGTCATCCTTCTCAAATACTCATCAAGCCACTACTAAAACACACACACACACACACACACACACACACACACACACACACACACACACACACACACACACACACACACACGCACACACGCACACACACACGCACGCACAGAGAGAGAGAGACAGGAATGCAGTTACACTAAAGATTCATTAGAACAAAGTTGCATATTACACAAAAATAAGTTCGTTATATCTGAAAGTTTGCTGTAAGCGTATATTCCTAACACTATGTATATTGTAACACAACTCTAATAGTGTTACAATAATAATCACCACTTGCTGAGAGCTGGGTACATTCTCCCCTCGAATAGTGGCTTTGTCTTAGTATCTTTTTTTATTGAAGTTGAAAAGCGTAGCCATTTGCAAAGCAATCAGTGGAGCTTGCATAATTGAGCTTTTAGTTGCACATAAATCCAACACAATTATTAGGTTTGGTATTACATGGCAAATCGATAACTTGTGTACAACAGTGCAGAGACTCCTCTTCTTGGATATACTACACAGCATCCGATAAATGGTGAATACGCGCCCGTTAGTGTTGAATGTACTTTGAAATGTTGCTATGTGCGCACACTATATGTATGTGCCCATATCCATCCGCAACTAAGCTTATGAGAGTACTCGGACTCCAAATAAGCCAAACCTGTGATAACGGAGAGGGATCCGTGGTAACCCCAGAGTTAGAACAAATGTCAATATTCGGGGGCAGTTATTTGATAAAAAATGTGCAAACATAGATGCACTTTAACCAAGAACTGGTGCTTTATTACTTAAACTTCATTTAGGTTTTATTTAACTGTTTATTTATTTTCTGCTGCTACACTTACCCAACTTCCAAGGGTTGTTCTTGCACGTCAGGTACCACATGTAGAAAGTGTTTTTGGTGCGTTCCGACATGTCGGCAATGTCGCCACGGAAGAAGCGACTCACGTACGCCTGGCTGAGTTTGGTCATCTCGGCGATCATTGTCTGCTTGATGTTATAGCGCATCACGAAGTTGCGTATCTCGGACAAGATGGCCGCCTCCCCCTTCCTGCAACGATGGCCGCACAACCAGGTCAGACGAGAAAGACCGCGTCAGGTGATGACGACTTCGCCGCACACGACACAAGAGAAGATTGCACAATGAAAGCAATGCTAGTCGAGGACTGATGGAATGTTCACGCAAAGGGATCCAGTGTTGGTTAATGACAACACCATCAATAACATTTGTCAGCCTACTTTCCAGTGGGGCAGGATGCATGAAATAAGTGAACTGCAGTGATGTGAAACAATCAGCAAATTGTCAACTAATTGAAAGATGTACTGCAGATAGCACTATTGATTAGCATTGCATTATTATTATTATTATTATTATTATTATTATTATTATTATTGGTAAAACCATTAAGTGAGTGAAAAAAAAGCTACTGGCAGCAGAATCAATATTATCGTATTGTTCACAACCGACAGTGCGATCAATAGGCATTCAATACTAGGCTAACGATATCATTATCACGATAACCGACAGCCAATTTACGTTTAGAATGAATCCCCAAGGTGCCTTGCAAGCTATGTCAATGTTTATCTTTACACCAGTTTGAGTTTGCGAGAAATTCCATTTACTTCTGACCAAAACGTCCCAGCGTGAACAAACCATTAGAGGGCGAAGGAAGGGTTGCGGGAAGCAAAAAACTGCATGGCTGTTCCAACAGCTGAGCATGCAAATGAAATGTGCTTGCAGCAGCACAGAGAGTGCACAGGAAAGCCAAAAAAGAGCTATCGCACACAGAACAAATAGTTTTGAATGTTCACATGCAATATACTGAAACGCTATTATTGAAGAAAAAAATATTACTTCGATTAAATAGTTTTCATAGCTCAGTTTCTGCATACAAGGAAGGAAACTTTCCTCTTCATTAGGCTGGCTCTTTTATGCTATAGCAAGCTGACAAAGCTTTTCGAATGCACACTTTAATGACAGGTGTACAGGTTGTTTCAACAAATGTGCCCAATATTGTTTAAAAATAAAAAAGGGGTGTCTGCGAGCCGCCTGTGGCGTTCTGTTTATCGTGGCAGAAGGAATCTTAAGATGAGTACATACATTAATTACGGCAGTAAATATAGAAATTAAAATAATTCAAGCTTTTTAACCAGTAGAAATAAGCGGTCAAGTCAAATGTGCAAATTCAAGCCCTTCTTGGGAACATTCCATAGGCGCTTTGAAATTTCTGAAAGGTAGCTACTGGTAAGCATTGTGGAACGGTGGAATCCGCCTAATTAAGCAGGCAAAACCAAAACTGACGCACGGGACAGTGCATTTGCCACTCACTTCGAACACGTCCTCGCTGACGTCACTGTTTCCCTCGCACTGACGGGCGGAGGGTAAGGGAGGGCTTGAATTTGCCCATTTGACCTGACCGCTTATTTCCACAGGTTAAAAAGTAAATTATTGTAATTTTTATATTCACTAACGTAATTAATGTATGTACCCATCTGAAGATGCCTTCTGCCACAGGAAGGCAACGCCGCAAGTAGCTTTTCTGCAATTTTTAAAAAATATTCGACACACTTGTTGGAACACCCTGTATGTCAAGCAAACAGACGTGCTGAGTGGGCTGTCTGCGAGCAACTTATGGTGGCCAGCTTTTCACAGTGTAAGTCCGAGTTACTGGTGCCTGGTTGGGCTAATAAACTCATCATCAGCTGTAATAACGGCTTATCGCAGATGAGTGACAACTGATGAGTTTATAGCTGGTGAATTCATTGAGGCTGTGACAACTCAAATCTATGCTATGCCCTATGATAGCTGTCAAGTGCAATAAGCTTTATCTCTACTTTGGTAACCCAGTTCTACCTTCAAGCACTGTCAGCTGTGATAACTCTTAGATGAGATGCCACAGCCACATGCTGATGCACTATCATAGCTGAAAAAAAAAAAAGCTTATCAAATCGCAAGATATTGTCTACATAATTTGAAGAATTAACTTTTTAGTACATTTTTACTTTAATAAAACATAAAACCCTTTTATTATAGCAAACAACTATTGACTGAGCGCATCGCTAAGCCCCCAATTTATACTGCCTTGGAACTACTGTATCACTAATAGAAACTTTTAACAAAACCTGATTTCTGTTTATACGATGTTATAAGCATTCTGTCACCCCTTCTACTGTAGCACAATTCCCAAAGCTTTCACATAAGTTGAATACAGCTTCATTTTATCAATAATAATCAAAGTGGTTATAAAACATGGCCAATTGCCACATCAAGGTATTGACACAGACTTCAACTCAGGATGCCTTCTAATCTGCAGGTGGTGTTTGCACCCACCTTACCATCTCCATCCCTGCTGTCGCCAATGCCATTACTGACTAAAAAGTTCGAGGATATTACTACCGATATTCTGCGAGACATTCCTCGAAGAAATGCCCGTAAGCCTTGGAAAATACGAAAACAAACGAAAGACTGAAGCAGGGCGCAATCTTTGTCATCGTGAAGAAACGGCAGAACGAACAGCATCGTCACCCATCATTCCTTTTTATTATTTGCTAAAGTGCCTCATGTATACAGCTCAGCTTAATGCTTTCATATCAGTCCTTTCACACGCGACACCTTGAACAGAACTTTTTATGACTGTGAAGACCTGGGCGCATCATGGAAAAGCTTTGGAGATATCAAGCGACACGACTGAATGCAGAAAGCGAGCTTCTCAAGCAGGACACTTAAAAGCTGCTGCACCGTTCCAAACGCTCCAGATGTAGCAAGCCCACAGTGACAGATCTGTTTGGCCCAATTATAAAAAAACTCATCCGCCGCCGCTTTATGCCGTCATAACACCAGTGTTCATCAGGAGAGAGCGGGCGACATTACAGCATCAATCAGCGTTGCCAGCATTTAGTTCTTTTCGAACAAACCAATGAAAAGGTGTTCTCTCTTGATGGATGCCAGTGGTGTGGCGCGGCAGGTGATGGCTATGTGGACTAAGCATTAGCATCCAAGATGCCAATCAAATCTTTTGGAATGTCTTGCAGCACTCTCGTGTTCCTGTCGACATCTATTTGAATATGAAGGAAAACGGAGAACCTCAGGTTATTTCTCGGTAAGGAATGCGATGACAGCTGTGTGAGGAATTAAATAATTGAAGACTGACCAATGAAGATTACTGGGTATCCCTTTTAATGGTAGTGGAGACTTGCCGAGTAACGAAGAAGTTGAAACCAAATTTTGTTATCGCAGTCAACCTCAAGTTTGGAGAAGGTTGAGAGAGAGGAGAAAAGATAATCTTTCCATGATAGAACATTGAGAATTTACTAGGCATAATGTCGCAATAAGACAGTGATGAGTGAACAAACGATGCGGCAGCCTTAGTTGCATTGCATCGCCATGTATGAGGTGACAGTGCACCTTTCCAAAAGCTTAAATGACCGAGATTTGAGCCAGCTTGAGACTTATCTTTTACGGCAACAAATCACTTTCTAAGGGACTTCTAGTGCTTTTTAAGCAATGTTTTTTACACAGCACTGTTGGAAGTGTTCAGATATTTTTGTGATGCAGATCAAACGTTGTCCCTGGAACCGTGTGATGTCGCTATCTATGTACATAATTGTGATCAATTTCACAGCTAGGCACTAGACTGCTCAGCAACTCAATTGAATGATAGTTAGCCCATGTGGTGCGATAAAACTAGTCAGCACTAATACAAGCTACACCTGTCTGTTCTTGTTGCATGGAAGTGCATGTAGAGAGGCTGCAAAGACTTTCTTTTTCCCGCTCTAACAAGGATCGGAATATGGAGACCTGTCAGGGGGGGCTGCAAAAGCGAGCGAAGGGCTGCAGTCCAGCAGCGCCATGCACGATAGCCAGAGAATGAAGAAGGCGCAGACTAAGCAGAGACAGAGAAGGTAGGGTGATGGATTGAATAAATCTTACGGTGGGAGGAGTGGGTACGCTGACCTTTTCAGCTCGTCGATATCCCCAGATTCCTCCTGGAGGAATTCGTGGGGGTTCATAAGGTACTGCATGGGAACCACACCCGGTGGGTACATGTTCGATGAGGCACCACCTCCGCTGCTGCTGCCGTAGCCACCGTGCTCTTCGTTGCCACCCTGGGGTGACGCGTTGGCCGAGATCGGGATGATGGTCAGCTCGCTGGGCAGCTTTGCCCCGCTACCGCCGCCGCTACTTGCGGCCGTCGTCGTCGGCGGGGAGGCCACGCTCTCACCGTTGTGCGGGCCGCAGTCCCCCGTGGCCGAGTCATTAGACGAGGCGTTCTGCAACTGGTGCAGAGCAGGGCACTGTCACCAGGTGTGGCAGTGCGTGGAGAACAGGCGTGCATGAATGTACAATGGTGCAGTGGCGTGCCACACATCGGAACAGTCACTTGCTCAACATTTCTTTTGATAAGCTGCGACCGACCAGCTTAACTGACGGATGCAGATACGGTAGCTGCACCCTGGCGACTTGCTTGCCACGCGAATCGGTGAAAACCGAGTTGAACCTCGGATTGACAAATGCAATCGACTTGCTTTTCATGTGGGCTGCAAGACTTGATAGCAAACAACACACAGGTCCAATCTTGTCGACAAATTCTATTAGCTCTGAAGCATGCGCATTTCAACGATTCCTTCGCCGAGTAAATCCTTGAGAAGAAAATAGATTTGCAGATTGACAGTACATGTGACCAGCACTTTGCAGAAACAAGTTGTAGTGCAAGAAACACAGACACAAAAGAAGACTAGAGACGACACACAAGCGCTTTTATTAGGTGTGTTCCTTGCGCTAGAGTAATTTCTAATGTGCTACCAACAAACCCAAATCACCACCATTCTTGTTTCTTACATTCACTTTAGCGAAAAAGAGACCCCACTCCTGTATATTCAGCAATCTCATACTAACGAGACTCCGTGATGTATGAAAAGCATGTCGAGCGCACTTGCAACGCAGGTGGCACCAAGTTCTAACAAGCCAGCAACGGCGGCGCAAAGGCAAGGGTGTTGCACCTACCTGTGGCGGCTCCCTGTTAGCCATGTAGTTCCTGGCCGCTGCTGATGAAGACGGCAACCCATTGTGTCCCCCCGATCCTGCTCCCCCTCCCCCATGCGCTTCGCCCCCACCACCGCCACCTCCTCCGTAGTTGGAGCGCCCGCGTGGCATCAGCGCGGGCATCACGGGACACGGCAGCGCACTGCCCAACTCCATGTCAAGCCGATCCAGCTGCTCAAAGGCCATCATCACCTGCAACACCGCAGCACCAGCAAAAAAGAGAAAGTCTGAATTGACAGATTCTTAGCTTGAAAAGACACTAAAGAGGCAAAATATTTTTTTGTTACTAATAAATTACACTTTCACAATTCCAAAATCATCATGCTCACTGCGAGAAAATGCTTGATAAGCGAGGAAATGCGCAAAAAGAACCTGCAGGTGGCTGTGCCACCTTAAAATTCCTACAGTAACGCCGTGATGCCATAAGTTTTGACGGAGTTAACCAAGGCCTATGTAGCTCCTAATAAAAAAAAAAAAAAAAGAAGCATATTGTCTGCTCATTGGGCCAGAGGCCTAAAATACCAAGTTTAAAAAAATTTCATCGCACCAACATCAGCAAAATACTACAATACACTTTGAAGTCCAGGACGTTGCATGCACAGATTTCGGCATGAAATTTAAAAATGGTACTCTGACCTTGACTTTCTCCTCTAATTATGAACTTATGATGGTAAGATTAACAACATTAGAGTTCTTAGAGAACACTTTATCAGTTTAAACCAATTCATTGTTTCATTTTAGTGTGCCTATAAAGAGAAAATGAAGAAAGAGAAACCAGAACATATAAAAATGAAGGGGCCTACACAAATACAAGCATGAATGAACAAAAGGACAGACTGATGGGCTATTTGGCAGTTGTCTAACACAACAGGAGACTCGTCACGTCACACACTTTGCCAGGCATAACAGCTGGTGGAGACTATGTTGGGCATGACAAGTCTACTGCTCTGTTGACCAGAGGTCTCCTGTCATATCAGACACTGTGCCAGACACGTCTGTAAGTGTCGAACGACGACAGGTGACCTGTCGTGAACAACACAGTATATTCGACAACGACAGGCCCGACAGAGGGTCCGACAATGACAGGCGATCCGTCATGCCCGACACATTGCCCACACGATAGGAGACCCGCCATGCCGGGCACAATGTTCGACATGACACACCCGTCGTGCCCCAAAAAATGTCCGATATGCCAGCAGTACGGCACAGTGTCCGATGTGACAGGTCTCCCGTGATGTTGGACAGTGCGTTCGACAATTGAGTTCCACACAGCCTCGAGAAGAAATAGGCCTTCACACCTGATCCCGGGTGATGCCCGAGGCCCGGAGCCTGCGGATCAGCTCTATCTGTTCGATGGTGAACAGGATGCCTGCCATCCTGCTCCTTTTACCCGCCACTGTGACTGCTTCTGCTTCCACTGCTGCCGACACCAACCAATGCCTGTGCCTCGTCCCCGGATCCTGACCCTACAAAGCATTCTGCACCAAATCACGGGAGGGTGCGCGCCATAAACATTGTAGTAACATGGTAGACAAAAACTGTTGCAGACAAGAGAAACACGAATGTAGGCAAGGTCAAATGATGAAAAACATTATTCTGCACGAGCTCTCCATTGACCATATCTCTATTACTCATAAGCAGAGTTGTCTGAACAAGATGCTTTACAAAGCAAACTGACTCTGATTACACTCATTAAGTTGTGCCTAGTTGAAATAATTCAGACTAGATGGCCATGCTTGTTCATATTGTGTCTTTGCATTTTGCCTTTCACTTTAACACCATCTACTCTGATGCTCCCATAAAAGATGACTCGTCATAAAAAATGACTCAGTAAAGCTTTGCGCAGAAAGGGAAAGAGCACAATTGGGGCAAAACTGCAAGCACTGCACCGAAGAACCTTCTACAATATTTCATTTCATGCAATATCAAAAAAAGAAGCCTTGCTGAATTCGAAAAACATTTTGTTCAGAACAAAGAGCACTACGAACTGGGCAAAAAAGTTTCTGGTAAATTTGGCAGAAATTTTGTCCTTCTTCACAGCAGAGAAAGGAGTAAACAGCGAAGTGTTCCAAGAGTAGAGACAAAGACAGCCCATAAGATCGAGACCCACGAGTACATAGGTTCTGTTTCTTGGCGCTTATACTCCAACCCATACTAAGCCAGGCAAAGCTATGGAAGCTACAAAATCATTACAATTAATAGAAGTATCGTCAAACTACTACTTTGATAATGCAAGCTCACATTAAACGATACACCATTTGCGCACCTTTGTACTTTCAGTACATGTCATACCATTATTCTGATGCTGGTTGCAGAAACGCGCAAGTCCTCTTTTTGGTGGTAGTTAGATTCATAATAGTAATGCGTTTCTTATGATTTTCCACGTGATACTAGTACAATACAATGAATTATCTAACACTTGTCTATGTGTTTTGTTCAATTGTGGTAAATTATTTTCTGCCGCGAATGAGAAAAGTCTCTTTAGCTTAATATATATTAGGTGATATGGAGCAGACTGAAGATCACGTGTCAAAAAGCCAAAGAGTACGCAACTCAAAAGGGTCATGAACCAGTTTTCTGTATCCACATAAAACGACACAGGCCATCATTACACAAACATTTCACAAATGACAGTTAAAATGCAAGAAAACAGAGGATATGCATCACCTCCTGGCAGCCACCCGTCCAACTGCAGGCCTGCCAAGTTGGACTTGGACCGCTGACCAGCCGTTGTAGCCAGCTCATCATTCTGCTTGTCCACCCTGCAATAGTGAGGAAGGCAGATTGAAAAAGGTATTCACTTCAGAAAGGCTTCTTCAAACAGGGATCCATAGATTCGTTTGGTGATTCCTCACGGCACAAAGATACAATGAAAGCATGGAAGAAAAATTGCAAGCAAAAAGAAATCACAGCATATCCACGGAGTGAATGATGATAAGTGGTTCGAAATGTCTGTGAGTCCATCCCTCCATCTGTGTTTACGTTCGTCTGCCTGTGCGCTTGTTCGTGCTTCCGTTCGTGCATCCGCCCATGCTTGTCCGTCCACTTGAGCGTGTCCATCCATCGGTCCACTCCCATCACAATAGAGCACACATCGGACGAACGCTGTGCCCCATCATCATTCAGTTCGTGGGTGTGCTGGCTGACCCAACAATCATCATCATCATCAGCCTGACTGCGTCCACTGCAGGACAAAGGCCTCTCCCATGTTCCGCCAGTTAACCCGTTCCTGTGCTTGCTGCTGCCAATTTATACCTGCAAACTTCTTAATCTGATCTGCCCACCTAACCTTCCGTCTCCCCCTAACCCGCTTGCCTTCTCTGGGAATCTAGTTAGTTACCCTTAACGACCAGCAGTTATCCTGTCTACGCGCTACATGCCCGGCCCATGTCCATTTCTTCTTGATTTCAGCTATGATATCCTTAACCCCCGTTTGTTCCCTAATCCACTATGTTCTCTTCTTGTCTCTTAAGGTTGCACCTACCATTTTTCTTTCCATTGCTCGCTGCGTCGTCCTCAATTTAAGCTGAACCCTCTTTGTAAGTCTCCAGATTTCTGCTCCAGGTTTCTGACCCAACAATATGCTCACCAAACAATGATGAAGTCCACATTAGCACCTGCCATGCCAGTCAAATCATTTGACAGACTATGGGGATTCAAACGTGGTTCTGCCAAGCTGTCGGCCTTGAGATTCGGCAAATTCATAAAACTGAGGAGTAGGGGAGGTGAAAATAAAAATTTGCGCATAGTTTTGATATTTTTTTAGGACTACAGAAATGTCATACAGGGCTAACAAATGATTGGCAGTAACTTTTTTTTTTTAGACGTCATTGATCAAATTAGCACTCACAATCATGCGGTGAAGAACGCACGTTTCACTAAAGTAACAATGGCAGACGTTCACTGGCTCGGCGACAGCACAGGATATCTTTCACGTGTGCCATTGCTAGGGCAACTAACGTTGTTGCCGGCTACGCTGCGTTCGCAGCACGCCAAGTTTGATTGCGCGCAGTAACAGCGGCATACGCTTTCAACTTTAGTTCCAAACATGTCATAGCCCCGTTTGCTGCCTAGGAAATTCAAACTTCCCGTGAAATGTTACTGGCTATGGCAACGCATTTTTCTCGTGAAGTTGCGTCATCCCGCTGATAGATATGTGCTGCGGTCAGCAAAGTGATGGGCATATGCCATTGTTACTTTACCTGGTTGTTGCGCAACTGTCCTGGCTTAATGAGTATCTTACTCATTAGAGTTACGGTCAGCACGCCTGGATCCCATGACTAATTGATGACGCCAACTACAGGTGGCTAACGTGCCCTTCATTTCTCCCCGAAATTGGCACAATTAAGAAAATTTTAAGACCAGTCAAGCATTTAGGCTCAGCGTGGTGCAATTTCGGCAAATTTCATGGTTTCGGCGCAGCTTAGCGCACAAATCCAGAATTGTATCGAAATGGCGCAGCTGTTGCAACACTGTGTAAGCGTCTGACATCGTGAGCCAACTCGGCAGGGAAGTTTCAGGAGAAACTGTTGCACACAGGCTTGGCCCCATGGCTATGACGACGTCACTCACAACGTAGCCAATGAAGTGTGTGCTTGTGAACGATGTAACTGATAACACAGCCAATGGAGAGCGCTTATGATACAACTGCTGGACGTTTTTTCGTTTCTGTAAGCCCTAAACAGCTTTTGATGTAAAATGAAAAGTGCAGTCGAATACTGGAGAAGCAGGCCTCAAGCTAATAATAAGCACCTGTATTTTGTATTACAGCCCTATACCCCACCACATTAACCATTTGTAGTCCTTTGTTGGCCTCAGCTCGACAATGCAATATGGCTGCACTGGTTTTTGGTCAGGCATTGCTGGACAACTACTTTTACAGTTGATTCATGCACAAGCTTTCAGACTATGTTATCAGTAAAAGAATAAGTTTAGCTTCTTTTGCTTGAGCTTTAGGACTTGTAGTGTGGGACCGGAACAAATGAAAGATGGGAAAAGGTTTCCAATCGCACAGGGTTGACCTAGTCAGTAATGCAATTCCTCAGATTTCAAGCTAGTGAAATGAACCTGTAAACGACAGTCACAGTGAAAGCTGAAAGAGCAGCTTTCTATAGCCTTTTTTACACACTTTTGGGGCAGCTACTATAAGCACACTTGCACGGTACCCACTTTGGTGTAATTTATTTCTTCGGAGAAGCATGGTACCCGCTACACATAACGTGAACACTGTTGATGCTGCAGGATGATGACGAGGAATAATGACTGAAGCTTTTATAATGAATTGGAGCCTTTAACGGCCCACTCGTTACGCAATACACATTCTGTGATGCCTGCTTGTCGCTCTACAGTTCTACAACGCCTCATTACATGTGCTAACTCGATTACTTATTTTTCATGAAGCCTGCATAGGCTAAATTTGCAATGAAGCTTCAAGCACCGGTGTAGCTCAGTGGTAGAACGCTGGGCTGCCAGGGGAGAGCAGCTAGACTTGAACACCGTTCCATCCTTAGTTTTTTATTTATTACCATTATTTCGCGTGATAGCGGTTACGGATATTTGGCAGCGGCACAGCTATGGCACCTTTGTTGTGATCTCGTAACAGCTTTCGCTGAAAAAAAATGGGCACGCATCCTCGACAGTATTTGAACCACCCTCCCAAATATGTAAACAGTTTACTACTAGAATGCATTTAAGGTAATTCTGTAAATGCACACTTTTCTTTTTTTCAGAAAAAGTGAATTTTCAATTCTGACGTTCGAAATACAGAATTCAGAATTTTGGTGCATGCAAAACTACATCTCTATCCAGTTTTCATAACTTCCCTCACACCAAAAATGACATGTCTGGACAACTTTACTCTTGATCTCGAAACTTGACTTTGGTTGTTTTTTTTTTTCAGCATAAGCTCATAACTTACAAATAAATCCTTATTTCCTGGTCAAACGTTTCATACTTCTTGCATAAATATTAAACTAGGATAATTGAAAACCATAGATATTTTCCGATGTTTCAAGATTTCAATAGAAAAAAAAAGTGATATTAAAAGCATCCAAAATGCCAAATTTTAGTCGATCGGCTTATATCATATACTTAACATTTGCGCAGCTATTATGCTGCTGCACTGCTGAGGCTAAAAGCATTTGTTTGTAGCCTGTTCACATTCTTTCACCATATCCAACAACAAGCCAGTCGTATCCAAGCGATCACTCGTATCACGTCACATCGACGACTCTGCCAGCCTTTGCAGTGGCAGTGCTTGCCCCTAGCCTGGGCAAGCTGTGACGTTGCACCAATGAGCTCGCACAGCTGCCTGAGAGGAGAATTCTGAAGAGAGGAGCCGCCTTTTGCCTTCACATTCCTCACTTTTAAGAAGCCTTTTATTTCCCTTTTCAGGCAAACAGAACAGCAGGCATGAAAGATGAATGTTTGACCTGTGTAAGCTAACATCCATTGTTATTAAGTGCGTCATCAAGGTGAAAACATTATTTTTATCTATACCTTTCACTAAATAAATGAATAAATAAATTGATAATTCAAGTTCCTCATTGTTTGTGGTTAAAAGTTACCATAGAAGTAACTACATACATGATGGCCAATGCTCGGAGCAACAGCTCTTGATACTTGGTGTAACCAGGGACATGCAAAGCTGATATTGAAATGACTTAATATGCTTTACTTAGACGATGAAGTCATGCAATGACAGAGAGATAACCATTAACTGACACCATTATTATTCTCTTTAGATCAAGAAATTGATGAGATTGAAAAAAAAATTGAAATAAAGTGCATTGTAGTCGTACAAAGCGGCATAAGATGCCACTACCTGCTCTACCTCATACTGGCAAGTGTTAAGAGCGTTAAAGCGTTCAAGTTTACAGACAGACTAAAAATCTCCGCACACAAGGCAAACTTAAAAACTACTCATGGTGTCCTATTATCCAAAGTACTGCCTCACCCTCGCATTAACTACTTTGGGACACCTAAAATATCATCTTACGAACGCACGTATGGCCGTATAGTAGAAAGACTATACTGCGGATGAAATTTTGTTTTTTGACACTCGTGAATGATTATGCCATTCAAATGCAGCAGAATACCAGACTGGCATTCAGCGAACCGGCCAGACACGTAATCCGAGAGCCAACTAATGGCATCCAAAAGCGCCTCTTTCGTGTTTGGCAAAATACACACGTAACTGTCATGCCTGCCTGAGCAATAAGATAAAAACTTTCGTGGCTCTGCGACCAGAGTCTCACAGGCTGTTTCTGTCTGCTTGTTGCATGGGAAGGCAAGGATGAAGTTAGAATAGAAGCATTAGCATGTTGGTAGGAATTCATGATCCTGAAGCACACACACATTTACAAGTATAAATGATGAAACTTACAAGCCTGGAACTGGAAGTGTTCGATGAACTATAACCTGAGAGAGATCGATACAATGTATCAAGCGACCCTCAGCTTGTATAGTGCTGTTCAGTAATGACGACAGGTCTACAAAAATACACCTTTCGTATCTACCTGTAAGGTTGGCTGAAGATGCACAGCCTTTTCTCTCTACCAATGGTAAAAAGCTGCTGACAAACAGTGAGAGAATAATAAAAAAAAGGACACTGTAAACAAGCGCAGCCAGGTGTGAGCATGTAATATAAGGCATGGTCAGTGTTCATAATATATCAGACTTCCAAGAAAAGGCCACTGTTCGAAGAAACTACAGCGAAAAATGTACAAAGAAAAGCTTCTAACAGGAATCTCTACGCCTTGTA